AGGTTTGGTGGCGAGGGAGGGTGGAGGGGATAAGGGTGAGGACCAGTCCCTGCCCTGGGAGGGATGGAGGGAGCGGGGGGCAGCGGGCTGCAGGGGGCTCTGACAGCTCATCCGCAGGGTCCTGCTCCACGTGAGTTTCCTGGCGCCTGTCCTGGTGGTGGTGATGTGGATCAAGCCCATCGCGCGGGATTTCCTGCTCCATGCACCCATGGGCAAGCAGACGGTGCAGATGTAAGTGGGGCACGGGCAGTGGGTCCGACACTGCACCCCGACATCCTTGCTCTGAGGGGAAACCAAGGCACAGGCACACCAGCCCACCTCCTCCAACACCAGTAGCCCCATCCTCCCCACCGCCACCACCTCTCCCATCAGACCACCCTCTCGGGGGCACTGGGAGGTTCTGGACCCTGATTTCTCCCTGACAGCCCCCTCCTCTTTTCCCAGCATGTCGGACTCTGCCTACAACACCACGCGCCTCTGGACCATCGTCGGCCTCTGCCTCTTGCGCCTGGCTGTCACCCGTCGCCACCTCCAGGCGTACCTGGGCCTGGCCGAGCGCTGGGTGGAGCAGATGAGGAAGGAAGCCGGGCGTATTGCTGTCCTGGAGATCCAGCGCAAGGTCTGGACGTGGGAGCTGGGGTGGGAGTGGGGGCCTGGGGATGGCCACTGCCCTCCTGCTGATCCCCACTGCCCCCAGATCACGAGGATTTACTGCTACGTCTCCGTGGTCAGCCTGCAGTACCTGGGACCCGTCATCCTCACCCTCCACTGCACGCTGCTCCTCAAGACGCTGGGTAAGGAGGCGGCGGGGGGACACAGGGGCTTGGGAGGGGCAGGATGAGACCTGCAGGTCATCGTCAAGCTGTCAGCATCCCGGGTGTCCCCAGGCTCTCAAGACATGGTTACTGCATGGCGTGAACCTAATGCATGCAATGAGCGTGCTGGGACTCACCCACCATGTCCATAGCGCGGGGAGGGGGCTGCAGCACGGGGACCGACCCCCACGGACCTGTCCCCTCTGTCACGCAGGGCACCACTCGTGGGGGCTGTACCCGGAGCCCCCTCCCCTCCCTCCGGCAGCGACCGCAGCACCGCCACGTCCCGGCGGGGAGGACGGGGAGGACGTGCGTGCTGCGGTGGAGCAGATCACTGGCATCTTGGGCAGCATCTTCACCCCCCTCTTCCTCCGTGGACTCTTCGCCTTCCTCACCTGGTGGGGGGCCGCCTGCCAGGTCATCCCCAGCCTCTTTGGCCTCTACTTCCACCAGTACCTGGCAGCTTCCTGACTGGGGGGAGCTGGGACCTGCCTTGGGGTGCAGTCGGTGCCTGGCTGCTGGTCCCCTTGCTCCTGCCTCGGCTGGTTTCCACCTTTGCCCGTGGCACATGTGGACACACACGTGGGGACATTTCTGCCACCAGCTCTCTGCCCCTTCCTGGCAGCAGACAGTGATGGAGGAGCTGAAGCCGTGCAGCCAGGGTTGCTCCTGCCTGCTCCAACCCATCACAGTTGCCCGAGGCTCTGCTGCTGTGTTTTTCTCGCGGGCAGCAGCTCCTGCCAGCCCCGGGCAGAGGAGGATGTGGCGGGGGGCGGGCCTTTCCGGGGGGGGGGCCCCC